AAGGTGGACCCATGAACCCAAAATAATTCCGGAGTTTGCTCAAACCTATGTCCGTTGAGTCAGTGATGCTACCTAATCATTTCATCCTCTGCCACCCCCTTCTCCTTTTGCCTTCAATCTTTCCCAGTATCAGGGTCTTTTCCAATGAGTCAGCTCTTCACATCAGGTGGCCAAAGTATTGGAGCTTCAGCATCAGTCCTTCCAATGAATATTCAGGGTTGATTTCCTTTAGGATTAACTGGTTTGATCTCCTTGCTGTCCAACGGGCTCTCAAGAGTCTTTTCTAGCACCACAATTCAAAAGCATCAGTTCCTCAGTGCTCAGGCTTCTTTATGGTCCAACTCTCACACCTGTACATGACTACTGGAAAAACCATAGCTTTGATTATATATACCTTTGCTAACAACTTTAGAGAAACTTTAAAAGGGAAGGGGGACAGATAAAGGGAAGGTACTGAAAAAGATGCATAGTATCCTGCTAGTCACTTTTGAAACAAGCACAGACTTGTATAAAAATATATACTGGGTTTTGCATAAACTCTCTGGATAGATGTTCCAGACACTAAAAACAATGATTGCTTCTGGAAAAGGGCCATTAAGGATTGGGGAGCAGGGGGTGGGGTTCAAAAGCTGAAGGAAGATTTACTTTTCACTGTATAGCTTTTAGTACTATTTCCCTTTTTCTTTGCTAACCATGTTCATGTACTCCATCCTTAAAAAAATTAAAATGTCCGGGTAATAAAGTAAAAAGATTCATTGTCCTTTCTGAGCTCAAATTCAAATCTCTGAGATAATGTGTTTTTTAAGGAAACTACAACACAGTGAAATAATTATACTGATTTGCTAGGAGGACTCATACTCAGGGCTGTCAGATTTTAGTCCAGTCTCTGCCACTAACTAGGTATAGGCAGATCACTTATGATTTTCATTTGTTTATTTGGGGGCAGGGAATGGACTAAACAGCCTTTGGAATTGTTCAACTCAATGCTCAGTCACTAGTGGCTGATTGGTCAATACGCATTTATTAGGTCAAATTTATTATTGCTTTAAATATTTATTAGAATGGAAACAACCAAAATGTCCATCAATAGGAAACAAGTGAAATTATGATACATCTATTCAATGGAATACTGTGTGTTCATAAAAAAAAAAAAAAGGAAGCTCTTTGACACCCAAAATAGAAAGATCTCTGAGATACATATTGTTTAAAAAAGCATGTAAAGAAACACTAGAATGTATAAGCACTTTGTGTTTATAAATGATATATATACAATGAATGCATTATATATATGCTTGAATGAAAGGGTTTATAAGAAATCAGTAACATTTTTTAAAATTGTGTATTTATGTAATTATGTATTTATTTTTAAATTATGTATTTATTATGTCTTTATTTTAAAATATTTACTAAATTATGTATTTGTGTATTTAAATTGTGTTTATAATTATGTATGTATAAACTATGTATTTAAGTTATGTGTTTGAATTATGTGTTTATTGGATGCACTGGGTTCATTGATGCTGCACTGGCTTTCTCTAGCTGCAGTGCTCAGGTTTCTCATTGCAGCAGTTCCTCTTGTTGCAGAGCACTGGACCTAGGGAGTGAGGACTTCAGGAGTTGTGGCACAGGCTTAGTTGCTCTGTGGCATTTGGGATCTTCCTGGACCAGGGATCGAACTCGTCTCCCCTGCACTGGCAGGCAGATTCTTAACCACTGGTCCACCAGGGAAGCCCCTAATAACATTTTTGATGTCTATCAGTAGCAATGCTCTGAAGGTTGAAGGGAGGCTTTCATGTGTGCTATTTTATGCTTTTTGGATTTTGCAATATGGAATTACATTACCTAGTCAAAGATTTAAACTTTAAAAATTTGTTCATCCTATGAAATGTTTTATTTCTATGTCACTTTTTAAAAATTGAAGTCTAGTTGATGTACCATATTATGTTACAAGTGTACAACATGGTGATACTAATTAAGGTTATACTCCATCTAGAGCTGTTATAAAACATTGGCTGTATTCCCTGTGCTGCACAATATAGCCTTGTGGCCTATTTTACACATAATAGTTTGTATCTCTCGCTCCGCCACACCTTGTCCTGCCTCTCCCCACTGGTACCCCTAGCTTGTTCTCTGTATCTGTGAGTCTGTTTCTTTTTTGTTATACTCACTAGTTTGTTGTGTTTTTTTAGATTCTACATACAACTGATATCATACAGCATTTGTTTTTCTCTGATTTATTTCACCTAGCATAATGCCCTCCAAGTCCATCCATGTTGTTCAAATGGCAAAATTTTATTCTTTAATGGCTGAGTAGTATAAAAATACTTCTTTTAAACGGCGGGTAAGATAAACCAGAAGAGTCCAGTGTTTTCACTTTATTGTATGTTTATTGATTGAGCCGTACATGTGTGTTTTTAGTAAGATTTGTTTCTCCTTCATGTCAAGGCCTGTGTGGAGTCCTGGTTGGGGGTGCAGCCCTGCTCTAGGTAGCCAGTCACTTGGGGACCCAGTGTTTGTAAAATACCTAAGTACCTGTATTTACTAAGATGGTTATAAAGTTGTTTCTATTTTTCCTTCAAGGTGACTATCTGCTTCTCAGCATTGGTGGCACTTGAGGGTCACTAATCACAGTTCTTAAGAACCAACTCTATTTACCCAAGATAAAATCCAATCACACTAGTATTGATTAGCCTCTACAAGATAAAAGGCTCTTCTGCAGGTTCCTGAAATGTGCCTATGTACACACCCTCTGCCCTCCAAGAATGTCCTTTGCACTTACTTGGTCCCTTATTCTGCACTACATTAAAGTTGATTTTTCTCTGAATTCCTAACTATAGCTCTTGAATTCTTAAAATAACTCTGCTGAGACTTCCCTGGTGGTCCAGTGGCTAAGATTCCACACTCCCAATGCAGGGGGCCTGGGTTCGATACTTGGTCAAGGAACTAGATTCCATATGTTGCAACTAAGACCTGGTACAGCCAAATAAATAAACAATCAATAAAATTAAAAACAGCAACAACAACAAAACAACTGTGCTTACCTGGTGCATTTTATATACAGAAGCTCAGCTGTTGCATATATTTATTACTTAAAAATAAATCTCTATATATTAAATGGTTTATAAATTGCTGGTTTAATCCAATTATTCTTTTTGGATTGTGGTCAAATACACAAAGTTTTGGTGGTGCTAGTGGTAAAGAACCTGCCTGCCAATGCAGGAGATGTAAGAGACACGGGTTCTATCCCTGAGTCAGAAAGATCCCCTAGAGGAAGGCATGGCAGCCCACTCCAGTATTCTTGCCTGGAGAATCCCATGGAAAGAGAAGCCTGGTGGCTTACAGTCCATGGGGTTGCAAAGAGTTGGATACGACTGAAGCAACTTAGCACGCAGGCATGCACACATAAAATTTACCATCTTAAACCATTTTCAAATGTACAGTTCAGTAGTGTTAAGTACATTCACACTGTTGTACAACCGATCTCTATAACCATTTTCATTTGAAATTCTGTACTCGTTAAACAACTCCCCATCCCCCCACTATCCCCAGACTCTGGAAACCATCACTCTTCTGTCTGTCTGTGAGTCTGATTATCTGACACGAGAAAACTTATATAGGTGGATTCACACAGCATATGTCTTGTTGTAACTAGCTTATTTCACTTAGAATAATGTCCTGCCATTATTCTTTTTTCCAAGTATCTGCAATGAATAAAGGCTTCCAGCTTGAGTTAATTTTTAAAAATCCTGAACACAGAAATACTGAAGCATGGGACAGAAAATGGGAAGAAATATAAAAACAACTAACACTTTTGGAAGGTTTGATAAAACATACCATACCACGTACTTTTGCTCGTAATCGGAAATCTAAAAAAAGAAACTATCCTTATATTAGAGCATTCTTGCATAAATAATCCAATGATACAAAGGAAGAACATAAAAGGAGTACAGTCCCACATGAATTTTTTTTTTCCACATGAATTTTAATTATCATTAATCAGTTCAGTTCAGCCACTCAGTCGTGTCCGACTCTGTGACCCCAGGAACCGCAGCATGCCAGGCCTCCCTGTCCATCACCAACTCCCGGAGTCCACCCAAACCCATGTCCATTGAGTCGGTGATTCCATCCAACGATCTCATCCTCTGTCATCCCCTTCTTCTCCTGCCCTCAATATTTCCAGACATCAGGGTCTTTTCAGCTCTTCGCATCAGGTGGCCAACGTATTGGAGTTTCAGCTTCAGCATCAGTCCTTCCAATGAGTATTCAGGACTCATTTCCTTTAGGATGGACTGGTTGGAGCTCCTTGCAGTCCAAGGGACTCTCAAAGAGTCTTCTCCAACATCACAGTTCAAAAGCATCAATTCTTCAGTGCTCAGCTTTCTTTATAGTCCAACTCTCACATCCATACATGACTACTGGAAAAACCATAGCCTTGACTAGACGGACCTTTGTTGACAAAGTAATGTCTCTGCTTTTTAATAGGCTATCTAGGTTGATCATAACTTTCCTTCCAAGTAAGCGTCTTTTAATTTCATGGCTGCAATCACCATCTGCAGTGATTTTGGAGTCCAGAAAAATAAAGTCAGCCACTGTTTCCACATCTATCTGCCATGAAGAGATGGGACCAGATGCCGTGATCTTAGTTTTCTGAATGCTGAGCTTTAAGCCAACTTTTTTACTCTCCTCTTTCACTTTCATCAAGAGGCTCTTTAGTTCTTCTTCACTTTCTGCCATAAGGGTGGTGTTATCTGCATATCTGAGGTTACTGATATTTCTCCCAGCAATCTTGATTCCAGCTTGTGCTTTTTCCAGCCCAGCGTTACTCATGATGTACTCTGCATATAAATTAAATAAGCAGGGTGACAATATACAGCCTTGACATACTCTTTTTCCTATTTGGAACCAGTCTGTCATTCCATGTCCAGTTCTAACTGTTGCTTCCTGACCTGCATACAGGTTTCTCAAGAGGCAGGTCAGGTAGTCTGGTATTCCCATCTCTTTCAGAATTTTCCAGTGTATTGTGATCCACACAAAGGCTTTGGCATAGTCAATAAAGCAGAAATAGATATTTTTCTGGAACTCTCTTGCTTTTTTGATGATCCAGCGGATACTGGCAATTTGATCTCTGGTTCTTCTGCCTTTTCTAAAACCAGCTTGAACATCTGGAAGTTATCATTAATATATGCAATCAAATCAGCAGTTTTAAATCCTTGGGAAAAAGGGAAACTCCTGCTATTTAAAACAAATGAACATACAAATTGTAATAGATTGATTGTACTAATCTTTCTGATAGCTTGATGAGGCCACACGGTATCCTTAAAAAAAAGAAGCCACATTTTTCAATGTCCATTTCTGTGGGATTTGTCCTTATATCTTTACCCAAAGTGTGTGACATTATTTTCCACTTAGAATGCTGGAATGCTTTCACAAGAGAAATCTATTTTAAAAACTAACTTATTTTAAAACAAAGTTCATTTGGGCTGTTCAACAAACTGTTCATTGGCACAGTTTATTATGGCTTAAAATTCTGATAATGTCTTTATTATCTGAGGCTGGAACATTCTCCCCAACCCTGAAACGTATACTTGGCAGAGGCAGTCTGGTTAAGTTTGCTGGTCTGAGATAGGTCAGGACTCCAGCTGGAGGTTTCCAAAATGAGGTGAAGGTAAGTATTTGTGCTTTTACAAACTTGGTGTTGAAATCTGGAGGAATACTGGTGGGTTCTGGAAAGAAAAAAGCAATTTTGAGAGTGGAACAAAAAATTAAAGAGTTGTTGATTTTCATTCTCTCTGGAAGTAGAGCTTTAAATGGAGAAATAAGCCACAGACTGATCCAGGGTATTACAGCTTGTTATGACTAACAGGCTTAAGAAAAACACTCATTAATAACTATTGCTTGCAGGGAAAGCATATCAAAAAATACTTTATAACAAATTATACATTAATTATATATCAATTCCAGCTTCTCCATTTATATGACATTGAAAGAATTACATAACCTTCCAAAATCAAATCTCCTTTCCTTAAAGTAGAGATAAGAGTGGTGCCTGTCTCTGATTGTTATGACAAATGAGATAAAGCCTGTAAGTTACTTGGCACAGTGGGCAATGTATGATGAACACCCAATAAATGCTAGCTACTATTATTAACAAATGCCCCATTTGTGTGTGTGTTGATTCCGAATTATACAAAATGGGAACACAAAGACGAATAAAACAAAGGTGAATGAGATCCTCATGGTCTAGTGGAGAAGTGACTACTACTATTTAAGAGGTAGTGAATCTGGGACTTCGCTGGGGGTGGAGAGGCCAAGATTCCACGTTCTCAAGTAGGGGGCCCAGAATCAATCCCTGGTCAGGGAACTAGATCTCGCATGCCACAACTAGAGGTCCACTGCAGCCAAATAAATGGTGGTGTGGTTTTTTTTTTGGAAGAAGAAGAAAAAAAAGAGGCAATGAGTCATCTGAGGATCAAAACAAGATTTTTCTTTAAGCATTTCATGAATTATAGCATAATTTTTTTTTATTCTAGATCAATGTTTCTCAATCTCACACTGATGATGTGGGATAGTTCTGTGCTGCGAGGGGCTGGCCTGAGCAGCCTAGGGTCTGGCAGCACATCTGGCCTCCACTCACCAGCTGCCAGCAGCGCCTCTTCCCACTCTCCACACCTGCACTGCTGCGGGCTGTGGCTGTGAGCCTCCAAGACCAAACCCAGGCATCAGTTTCTACTCCTGCTCTCCCCAGAGCTCCCAGGGCCTGCCTGCCTGGCCAGAGGTCTGCTCAGGGCCTGAACGTTACCACCTGAACACTCTAAACTCCATGGTCGGCAGATGGCAGGCATCCAATGGTGGAATCGCAATCGGGGAGTCAGAGACTGGGCAGACCAGCTCTCCTCTGGCCAGCAGACGACGAGGAGATGGGCCGGGTTCTCCGAGAGGAGAGAATGCACCCTGGGACCTGGTGTCACTGGGGCAGAGTGAAGTACAGCATGTTGCCTGCGAACCTGACTGGCCAGGCCAGTCTCCCTCTGCCTTAGGCCAGCTGCTCTTGGTCAGGTGGATGATTCCAGCTGAGGCAACTGGAGTCAAAGCAGCTGTGCAACCCACCCCCCAGTGAGTGGGAATGGGGGTGGGGGTGGGCTGGAGCAGTTACTCTCTCGTTATATAAGCAGCCACGTAATAGCCCAGATTTTCCCTTTCGACCCACCAAGCCTAAAATATTTACCATCTGGGCTTTTATAGAAAAAAATATTGCCAACCTCCATTTTATTTTATTTATTTATTTTTCACCACATGGCATGTGGGATCTCAGTTCCCACCAGGGAAGTCTCAGCCTCCATGTTAGATAAGTACTCATCCTACTGTCAATATAAAGAAATGTATCAAAATGGTGTCATCCTACCTGATGGTATCTTGAGACAGAAAGACAAGAGCATAGCCATTTTGGAAAAGTAAGCCATTTTGGAAAAGTACCGGGCAAGGGCCTTGAGAAAAACAGGGCTTGTGAGCTAAAGAACAAAGGCCCCAGGGGTCTGGGGCTCAGAGACAAAAAACCGGGTCAGCGGGAATGAAAGATTAACTTCATCTCTGTTACACTAAGGAGTACACCTAGTTGCCACAGGACAAGAAGCTCAACTATAAATTGTAACCTTATCTGTTCCTGTGCTTTCTTACAGAAAATTCTCATCCATTTCGTCCCCCTTACAGAAGCACTCCCTATTCCTGATAGCCATCACGGAGCCACCTGCTGATAACCAAAGAAGGTTGACGACTTCTGGAAGTCATCAGTGCTCTATCAGACAAACCCTCCCTTTTGTCATAAAGGCAACTCACCCTTTCTACTCCAGGAGCTGAAAGTTTCGTTTTGTAGTTGTGTGTTTTTTTCTTTTCCACTTTTTCCTTTGTGCACAAGCTATCTCTTTTAATAAAAAGCTTTTCTTGGGACTTCCCTGGTGGTACAGTGGATAAGAAGCCACCTGCCAATGCAAGGAACGTAGGTTCGATCCCCGGTCCAGGAAGATTCCACATGACATGGAGCAACTAAGCTGGTGAGCCACAACTGCTGAAGCACCCACACCCAAGAGCCTGTGCTCTGCAACAAGACAAGCCACTGCAATAAGAAGCCTGTGCACAACAACCAGAGAGTAATCCCCACTTGCTGCAGCTAGAGAAAGCCTGCCGCAGCAACGAAGACCCAGCACAGCCAAAATAGAAATACACACAAAAATAAGTAAATAAATTATACATATAAAAAAAGCTTTCCTTGCCTACGCTTCCCTTTCCTTGGGGAAACGATACTCATTTCTATGGTAGTGCTGTCCAAGAAGCTAGAAAGGGCCTGGCAACCACCTTTGTAGCCAAAGGAAAATGCTGTGCCCAAGTAAATAAACACCTGACAGTGTCTCTCAGGGTGAATACCCAAAGAGCCTACACTCCAGTCAGAACTGTTGCGAACATCAAAGAGGGCTGTTTTCAGCTTAGAACTAGCCGGGAGAGAATTTAGCAATCATTCGCTAATTATTGGCCTATTGCCATTACTTTATAACAGAGCACACAGGTAGAATTATGAACGCAATTACCCTTCTTAAAAAGCCAGCAAGGGGACTTCCTGGTGGTACAGTGGATAAGAATCCACCTGCCAATACAGCAGAAACTGATTCGATCCCTGGTGCAGGAAGATCCCACATGCCACGGAGCAGCTAAAGCCCTTGTGCCTGGAGCCTGTGCTCTGCAACAAGACAAGCCACTGCAATGAGAAGCCTGTGCACTGCAATGAAGAGTAGCTCCTGGTTGCCGCAACTAAAGAAAGCCCATGTAGGGCAACAAAGACCCAGAACAACCAAAAATAAATAACCAATTTTTAAAAAAGAAGGCCTGCAAAGATTTCTCACTTTCTCACCTCCCAATCTTGGAGTCCCAGGTACTCTTTTTTTCATGGTAAAGACTGCTTTATTGGTGGAGGTTAGTACAAGTCAATAAATATTGATCCCCCCAAAACTCAGTTATTTATCAGATAACTGGCTTCATGGTGAGCTGAACAGAGTTGAGCCAAGTGACTGCTGGAAGGATAAACTGAGTCAATCCTGCTTCTTGGGAAATGAAGTCATAGTCAGTCGATATATGGCATAGGCCATTCCATCAACTCTAAGAATCATGGTGGCTCTATACAGGAGGGCATCAGCTATTCCACTTTTCAGATGCACTGGAACGCCATTACCTTGCTCAAACAGCTTTTGTTTCCCTGGAACCTTATGCTCAAACTGCCTGTGTGAAGCGGTACTCATGGTCCTCTGGGTAATCTGACAAAGAGCCAGCAGATTCTGCAGTATCTTGGCTCAGTTACTGCCCACTAACCTCGACAACCGACCACCAGGAACGAAAATCCCCAAGCACTCTTGACTACAGCCTCAGATTATCCTTTCCCAAGTGTGTCCCCAGCAGGTCACGGACTGTTAAACCTCTGAGTCTTTCTGTTGATTTTTCCCCATGCATGGAATGTTCTTTCCATCTTCTTCATCCAATGAATACCTCTGGGTCTTCGTTGCTATGCACAGGCTTTAGATCAAAAATCCCTCACCCAGCCCACACCTGTATTCTGGAAGACCAAGTAGACTTGTGTTACAGCACTTGTGTGTGTGTGTGCGCTCAGTCATGTGTGACTCTTTGCAACCCCATGGACTGCAGCCCACCAGCTCCTCAGTCCATGGGGTTTTCCAGGCAAGAATACTGAGTGGGTTTGCTGTTTCCTCCTCCAGGGGATCTTCACTGTGTTAATTATTCCTAGATCTGCCACCCTTGATAAACAGTGAGTGCTTAGAGAACAGGGGCACCTTATCTCTGAATCTCTAACACCTAATGGAATGCCTGGCACTTGATAGAAGTTCAACAAATGCCAGGCCAATGAATTAATTATTTGAAAGGCTCTGCATGGCAGTTCCTGTCAAAAATACGGGGTAGACACCAGGCTACCCCTTCTCCTTCCTTGTCTAAAGTGTTCTTCTCTTTAAAGAACATGGTCTCTAAACTTTCTGATGGCAAGGTCTGCAACCTTTGTGTTTATATGTGTTCACCATTATTCCTGGCACTTAGCAAATGCTCCTTCAAAAATTATATGGAAAATTATTTCAATCATATGAATTAATGGGAAAATGATCTTTTTCAATAACACTAAATCCTTAACTTATGGAATTATTACAATTTGTTAGTGTTTTGCTGTTTAAAAAAAGAAACCTAAATCACTGAATGTATTTCATTTTAGAATCTACAAGTCCAGATTGTATAAAAATCAAAAGAGCTAAAATGCTTTGTCCCTATGATTATCTATAGAATATATATGTGTGTGTGTGTGTGTATATACCTAGAAACTTACACATTCTCTTAAAGGTGAATTGGAGAAAACTGTAAGGAAATTAAGGCTTTGACTTCCACCTAATACTCAGTTGTATTTCACATCAGAGATGAAACCAGTCAATATGAAATAAGGATGAACACCTTCTTGAATATGTTGGTAGCACGTAAATAAGGAGCATTAACATAATCTCAAAGTATTGCTCTGCTCCATACTCTTCCTCCTTGCCACCCTCCCCCCCCCAAGGAATTTATCACACAGGGTTAGAGACAAAGACACTCGGCACTTAAACCACTGAGAAGCAGGGTCACCAATTTTGACCTTCAAATGATCTCTTCTATTGCTCTAATTGACAAGGAGTCGGTTGGGAGTTCAATGAACCTCCTCCTCAGCTGTCTTAACCATACCATTCATCTCATAGGTCAGCATAAAGGGTCTTGTGATTCAGTACACATATCCATATGTGTACTATGGTACATAAGTGTATATGATTTAATACAAATAACAAAATGTTTTCCAAATCTCAGAATCTTTCCAAGTTTCAGGCCACGATTCATTTTTACCTTTATGTTGACTCATGTAAAATAATTTTACTTAAGTGGATTTCAAAAAGCAACCATCACTATTGGAAACAAAGAAATTAATAATACTGGGCATAGATAGAAGTTATCCACTAAAATAACTTTGTTAATATGAATGGTATTAAGTCCTAGCTGGGTGCAGGTGTTGCCCACCAAAGCATCACAGAGGTGTTAAGAGATCAGTAACCCCAAACTAAGGACATTCTCCTTCATATACTCAAAAAGATTGAAAAAGAACTGAAAAGACCTTCTCCACCGGCAGGCTCACTGCTATTTGTGCTGTGTCCTGTACCACCTAAACTTGTTTCAGAAACATTGTAGAATCTCCCCACCTTCACACCACCCCCCCAAACCTTAGAACTCCTGAGTGAAGGTAATTAACACCCTCAGGCTGGTAGAGCCAAAAAGCCTTAACAACAACTCATCCACTCAGAGCACTAGGTTTCAAAAACCTACCTAAGTTCAAATAATCAAATCCCTGAAGGAACAGGTCACTTCACCTCCAGTAACTTTGTGTGTCTGAACAGAGGCAGTTGAGGAAACCACCAGAACACAGACCTGGAAACAGTTAAGGAATACTGTAGGTATTCCTCCTAAATCACTTACTTGGCGGAGGCCTGAGGGCCACTCAGAGAGCTGGGGTCTGCTTCTGTGCTAGATGGAGCGACTCTTCCTCTCCTGGACCAGGGTGGGGACCAGCCCAGAGGGCTCTGACTGCTGGGCTTGAGCAGGTGGAGCTGGAGACTGAGGAGGCAGGGGCGCAGCATTCGGATGGTCCTGAGTTAGCTCCTGGTCCGCTGGTGGCGGGGTCTCAAGAGCAACTGGGTCTGTGTGAAACTCCCGGGCAGATGGAGGCTGGCTTGGTCTAATTTCCTGGACTAAAGAGGTGCTCTGGGAGGCCTGCTGGGTGTGATACGTGGTCTGAAGCTCCAGAATAGCCTGGGCCACCTGAAGGTCCACAGGCTGGGTCTGCAAAGACTCGGTGGGCAGCACCTGGAGCAGAGAGATGGTGGCCAGACTCTGTGACTGGGAGGCCTGAAGAGGTGGTGGTCCAGTTTGACAGACCTCCAAAAGATTCTGAAGCTGACGCTGAGAGCTCACAGGCACCAGGGCGTGGCCCTCAGAAGCCACAGGCACCAGGGGCTGGCCCTGAGAGACCCTAGGCACCAGGGGGTGGCCCTCAGAAGCCACAGGCACCAGGGGGTGGCCCTGAGAGACCCTAGGCACCAGGGGGTGGCCCTCAGAAGCCACAGGCACCAGGGGGTGGCCCTCAGAGGCCACAGGCACCGGGAGCTGGCTCTGAGAGGCCGGAAGCACCAGGGGGTAGCTCTGAGAGACCCTGGGCACCAGGGGCTGGCCCGGAGAGGTCCTAGGCACCAGGGGGTAACTCTGAGAGACCCTAGGCACCAGGGGGTGGCCCTCAGAGGCCACCGGTGCCAGGGGGTGGCCCTCAGAGGCCACAGGTGCCAGGCGGTGGCCCTCAGAAGCCAGAGGTACCAGGGGGTGGCCCTCACAGGCCACAGGCACAGGGAGCTGGCTCTGAGAGGCCGTAAGCACCAGGGGGTAGCTCTGAGAGACCCTGGGCACCAGGGGGTGGCCCTCAGAAGCCACAGGTACCAAGGGGTGGCCCTCAGAGGCCACGGGTACCAGGGGGTGGCCCTCAGAAGCCACAGGTACCAGGGGGTGGCCCTCAGAGGCCATAGGCACCGAGAGCTGGCTCTGAGAGGTCACAGGCATCAGGGGGTAGTTCTGAGAGGTAAGTATGGTCAGAGACTGACTTCCAAAGGACAAGGAGACAACAGGCAGGCTCTTAGAGGCAAAGACCACTTGAGGCTGAGTAGTAGAAGTCAGGGGGACAGCAGGCTGTCTTGTAGAAGCAAGAGTGACTGCAGGGGGCTGGCTTGTAGAGGAAGCTACATCTAAGGAAACTACAGACTGGCTCTTAGAAGTCTGGAGAGGTGGAGGCTGGCTAGTAGAGGCCAAAGGGGCTGCAAGTTGGCTCATAGAGACAAGAGTCACTGCAAGGGGCTGGCTCGTAGAGGCCAAGGCAGCTACAGGCTGGCTCTTCGAAGTCAGAATAGGGGCAGTTTGGCTCATAGAGGCCAAGGAGACTACGGGCAGGCTCTTAGAAGTCAGGATGACTGGAGTTGGAGGCTGGTCCAGAGGAGATGGTGTGAATGGCTGCACCAGACTGGTCGACGGTCCCTTAACGAACTTTGGGAGACTAGCCTCACGGCCCAGGTCACCAGAATCGGGCGCCTGGGAGCAAGCTTCCTTAAAACTTTTGATAGCTTCGGGTTTGGGGAGATCCTTGCTGCCAAAGTCCTGAGCCTCGCCCTTCTCCGCGTTCCCTTCCTCCCGGTCTTTGTCTTGGTCTAGCTGGTTTTCGACCTGGCCCGTGACGGTCATATCCAGAGATGTCTGCCCTTCCAGGAACCTCTGGCGTCGCCGCCGCCGCCGCCGCATCCGCATAAAGGTGTTGGAAACGCTGCCTATGGTGAAAGTGAAGCGGTTGTTGATGGTCTGGCTCAGGACTTCCAGCGTGGATGCGGAGGGCAGGCGGTAGGGGCTGTTCAAGGCCTCTTCAGTAGGCAGTTCGATGTTACCGCTGTACCAGAATGTCCACCAGAGGAGGCTGAGGAAGATCATGCTGGCACCCAGGTAGAGGAACATGTCATAGTAGGGCAAACGGGAGAAGACCCCGGTGAACAGCGTGGCCGCGCCCACCGTGTCGAAGGTGACGCCCAGCCAAAAGAAATGCTTGCAGCGGCCCAGGCACGACCGCTCCTTGGTCTTGGCGACGTGGTTAACCGAAACTTCCATGAGCTCCGACTGTCGCCGCCGCCGCCGCCGGGTCCGCAGAAGCTACCAGGCAAGCGGCGTCGCCACAGGCGGGCAAGGGCTGCTGGGTCGCCATGGCGACGCGTTGGGGGCGCGCCAAGAAGGAGGCAGGACGAGAGTTCGGGAAAGCTCGGCCGCCGCCCACCTGCGCGGAGAGAGGAAAAAAAAAATGGCGTCACCTCAGAGCCGGGCGTATGCGCAGGCTGCCCCAAGGTGGGCTGCCCCATCGCCCCGCCCCCCACGCGGGCCGCCCTCTCCGCATGCGCAGTGCTTCCTCCGCATGCTCCAGTCGCCTGTGCGTGTGCCGCCTGGGACCTGCGGAGAACCGAGCGTCCACCTCACGTGCTCGGTGTCCCCGCCGTAGGAAGACGTATCTACATTCTTTCCCTCGAGCACCCGCCTTCCAGAACGGGGGCGAAATCCTGAAGGAGAGCAAAGGGCAAGGACTCTGCCAGTAACTTCCACTTCCCAGCCAGGAATGCAGCTTGGTGTCAGGTGCTACCACTTTCAGAGTTAAAGGCTTTCCCTGGTTTTGGTGAAGACGTGGTTAGGATCTGTTGATAGATATCTTAATTCGGACCTATTTGCCTCCTAGTGACTGGGCGACTACTTGCTTGCCTAGAGATCAGACCTAGAGGCGAATTCCCCCGCCCCTCCCCCATCTTTTAAGTTTCTTCTGTTTTAATTTTCCGTCTAGTTTTTTTTAGTTTTGTTTTGAGTTTTATTTTGGTGGGTTTTTTTTTTTTTTTTGGACACTCTGTGAGGCATGTGGGATCTTCCTCTACCAAGAATAGAACCCTGCCCCCTGCAGTTGAACCAGTGGACCACCAAGGAAATTTTAATTTTCCTTATAGTGTTAAATTCGTTGAAAAAATTCTGAAAAATTGGTGTGTTTAATTTACATTGTTTTGAGTTTATTGTGGAGTATTTGTAACAAAACCAGAATTTGTTACAATTTTACATTCTTGGTCTTAATGGAAACAAACATCAATAATACTATTAAAATACACTTCTTAGTGTATCTTGTTTTAAATGGAAAATTGCCGCGTTTTACAGTTTTTCAACGTAGTAACTCATTAACATCCCCCCCCCCCCAGCTGCACCCAGGGGTTTATGGGCTCTTAGCTCCCCCACTAAGGATTGAACCCAGACCCTGACAGTGAAAGCACCAAATCCTTACCACTGAACTACCAGAGAAGTTCCAAACCACAGGATATTTTTGAGAAAATATATTTTTTTTAAGTTATTCTTTTTATGGAAGAAATTTTTGCTTTACTTCCTGATAGTAAAAAGTAGTTTTTATACAGGAGCACAAATCAAAGCCTTTCAGCAGTGGATTGTTGAAAATCAATGGTGTGGCGAGTCCTTGATATGAGGTAGGGATTAGGTAATTGCAACAATATAGTTTCTCAGAGAAAGCCATTTTCACACCCCAGATTAGTATTTTTTCTCTATTAAGTCAATAACTTAATGAACTTATTGATTCCTTTATTGGCTGGGAAGGCGTTCATCAACCAGAAGAAAAATGAGCAACTGCTTGTTAACTTTCCAGTAGCTAACATGATACTACCTGGATTTAAATTTCAGAAATAATAGATTTCTTTTACATGATAATGCCTTTTAGTTGAAAGGTGTTGGTCTCTCTTTGGTTTTACATAGTGCTAATATACCATGGGGTCATGAAAGAGTCTGACATGACTTAGCGACTAAACAACAAGAAATATACCATGACATAATGTGACATACTTTAAGCTGCACTTTGAAAATTGCAGTATGTAGTTGATTTACAATGTTAATTTCTGCTGTATAGCAAAGTAATTCATATGTATATCTATCTGTATATGAAAGTGAAGTGAAAGTCACTCAGTCGTGTCCGACTCTGCGACCCCATGGAATATACAGTCCATGGAATTCTCCAGGCTAGAATAGTAGAGTGGGTAGCGTTTCCCTTCTCCAGGGAATCTTCCCAACCCAGGAATCGAACCCAGGTCTCCCACACTGCAGGCAGATTCTTAACTAGCTGAGCCACAAGATATTTTATATTTTATATTCTTTTCCATTATGAATAGAAAAGTTAAAGAAACCAGAGATCAAATTGCCAACATCTGTTGGATCATAAAAAAAGCAGAATTCCAGAAAAACATCCACATCTGCTCTGTTGACTGTTTCTGCTTTGTTGGCTACACTAAAGCCATTTACAGCTTTTGTGAATCTACTGTAGGTTTTTGCTTTGTGTTTACCATGAGGCTTACACATGAGACTTGCACATAATGTCCTATAGATATAACCATCTATTTTATGCTGATAGCAGTTTAATTTCAATTGCAGACAAAAACTCTTCCCCCTACTTCCACCTTTTATCTTTCTGATGTCATAATTTATCTCTTTTATTTCATCTATTAATTAACAAATTATTGTAGTTATAGCTATTTCTAATACTCTTGTTCTTTAACCTTAATAACAAAGGAACTCCCTTAATCTATCAGTGGTTTCTCAGCAGAAAACTTACATGCCAGCAGACAGTGGGATGATATATTCAAGAGTGCTGAAAGGAAAAAAAAACCCCAAGCAAAAGGAGCTAAGTGGTTAACACTCCATCATATCAGATATTCTGAATGAACTGTATACTTACTTTTATCCGTATGTTGTATATTTTCACGTTTTCATGTTACTAATGTGTATCTTTTCATTTCAGCTTGGAAAATTCCTTTCAGCATTTCTTATAAAGCAGGTTTAGTGGTGATGAATTGCCTCAGGTTCTGCTTTTTCTGGGAAAGTCTTTATCTCATCTTCATTCCCGAAAGACAGATTTGCCAGTAAAGTACTTTTGGTTGGCAGGTTTTGTTTTGCTTTTTCCTTTCAACACTCTCGAGTATATCATCCCACTGTCTTCTGGCATTTAAGTTTTCTGCTGAGAATCCACTGATAGCTTGAAGGAGGTCCTTTGTAAGTTATAGGCTTTTTTCCCCACCCACCTCTTGCTGTGTTTAAGATTCTCTCTTGGTTTTTGAGTTTTGATAGTCTTTTTTTTTGGAGAGGATCTCTTTAAACTGACTTTGTTAGGTGACCCATGAGCTTCACAAAATTGGATATCCAGATCGCTCCACAGATTTAGGAAGTTCTCAGGCATTACTTCTTCAAATAAACTTTCTGCCTTCTCCTTCTCTTTTCCTTTTGAAACTAATAATTTGGAAAATACTTTTTTTTATTTTGATGGATCCACGGACCACATAGGTTCCTTTCATTCCTTTCTCTTTGATCTCTAACTGGATAATCTCTAGCTTCCTATCTTCTATCTCACAGAATCTTCTATTGATCCATCTGTGGTTGCTTTCTACTGCATTTTTCATTTCATTCATTGTATGCTTCAGCTCCAGAACTCCTGTTTATTTATTTGCTTTGTCTGCACTGGCTCTTCATTGCTATTGCTGCATGAGGGCTTTCTCTAGTCAGTCGCAGACAAGCAGGCGCTGCTCTCTAGTTGTGGTCCGAGGGCTTCTCTCGTTGTGGAGCACTGGCTCTAGAGTGTGTGGGCTTCAGTAGTTGCAACATGCGGGCTCAGTTGTTGCTGCACCAGGGTTTAATTACCCTCTGGATGTGTGGGATTTTAGTTTTCCAACCAGGGATCAAACTCGAGTCCCCTACATTGGAAGGTGGATTTAAACCACTGGATCACCAGGGAAGTCCCCAGAACTTCTGTTTTGTTCTCTTTTGTGACTTCTGTGTATTTGTTAAACCTTTCATTTTGTTTGTAGATTGTTTTCCCGATTTCACTGAATTGTCATTCTCTGTTTTCCTGAAACTCACTAAGTTTCCTTAAAACAGCTACTTGAATTCTTTATTGGGTGAATTGAAGATCCCCTTGTCTCTGGATTTGGTTACTGGCAGATTCTTGTCATCATTTGGTGGTGTGATATTACCTTCATCTTTCATGTTCCTTGGAGTTTTGCTTTGCTAGTTTCACACGTAAAGTAGCGGTCATCTTCTCCAGTTTTTACTACTGATTCTGAGGCTTTCTCAGACCTTATGGGGTAGATCTACTCTGTGCTTCTTGCTCCCTCTTGTGGCAGAATTCCTAAGCTTCTATGTCTTCTCTGGATCCTGCAAAGTTCTGACAGTTTCTCTTTTGTTTTCCCAAAGATGGTGCTTTAGCTTTGGCACCGCCAAGCTTGTCGTCTGTCCCCGGCTCACAGATTGAGGCTAGCTTCCTGAGTGTTCTCACTAGCTGTCCACCGCAGTTTGCTCTCACTGCTGCTGTCAGGAGCACGCACAGGGACCTGGCCACAGAGGGGTCGGGTGGTGTAGGTGAGGCAGCTGGAGCACCGAGGGCACCCGTGGGTCAGTTGGCAAGCGAGGCTTTCACAGTGACACATGGGCAGGCTTCCTGATGCAGCTCGTAGGATCTGCATCCCTTTAAAGCCCTCAGAATCCTATCTCCACTCACCCAGCTTCTTCCCGTCCTCCGGTCCTGGACTCAGGATTCAGTAACTGTGGGTGGGGTGAGAGAGGAACGAGCCCCTTCCCCTACATCCTGCACAACTGGGAAGGCTGGCCACTCAGTCCCATGCTCTCCCTTCCCTTGCAGGAGAAATCACTGCCAAGAAAACGTCTCTTTCACTTGAGTTGGGCTGCCTTGGGGGCAGAGTGATGTGGGGAAAGTGAAGTGATTCCTCTTACCCTCTGCTTTGTGTCCAGACTTGTATTTCTTTGCTTCTTTTTTCTTTTTCAGTTCAGTCACTCAGTTGTGTCCAACTCTTTGCAACCCCATGAACCGCAGCATGCCAGGCCTCCCTGTCCATCACCAACTCCTGGAGTCCACCCAAACCCGTGTCCATTGAGTCAGTAATGCCATCCAACCATCTCATCCTCTGTTGTCCCCTTCTCCTCCTGCCCTCAATCTTTCCTAGCATCAGGGTCTTGTCAAATGAGTCAGCTCTTCGTATCAGGTAGCCAAAGTATTGGAGTTTCAGCTTCAACATCTGTCCTTCCAATGAACACCCAGGACTGATCTCCTTTAGGATGGACTAGTTGGATCTCCTTGCAGTCCAAGGGACTCTCAAGAGTCTTCTCCAACACCACAGTTCAAAAGCATCAATTCTTTGGTGCTCAGCTTTATCTATAGTCCAACTCTCACATCCATACATGACCACTGGAAAAACCATAGCTTGACTAAACAGACCTTTGTTGTCAAAGTCTCTGCTTTTTAATATGCTGTCTAGGTTGGTCATAACTTTCCTTTCAAGAAGTAAGTATCTTTTAATTTCATGGCTGCAGTCACCATCTGCAGTGATTTTGGAGCCCAGAAAAATAGTCAACCACTGTTTTCACTGTTTCCCCATCTATTTGCCATGAAGTGATGGGAGCGTATGCCATGATCTTAGTTTTCTGAATGTTGAGCTTTAAGCCAACTTTTTCACTCTCCTCTTTCACTTTCATCAACAGGCTCTTTAGTTCTTCA